GCATTTTTCTCCATCAAAATTTCACTTTTTCGAGCTGGGAAGGTGATATTCGTGATCAGCTCGACCTGGCGATTCAGAATATGTATAATAAAGCACAAAAAAAAAATTTCACTCGAAGTTTGCTTTACGTGCATCTTACCTGTTTTATTGATACGAATAACTCGACGATATACTTGACATAAGAATTTCGGTCAAGTAGGTGAGGACAAATGAGAAAACACATCATTTTTTTAATTTAATTAATTAGATAAGAATGGACGAGAACGCTGATGTCAGAAAAAAATCACCAAAAATTAACTCTATATCATGGGGACATATGGATGTTGACGGTATTGGAAAAGGAAAAGATTTTAAACTATATCCCGGAGGTAATATAATCACATTTAACTAATGTAAGTTTTTTTATTGATCATCTGTGTATTTAGGAGCTTCCGAATGGGATTGGAATGTCTCAAATACTAAACATACACCTGGTATTCAACTAATGGATGTAGAGGAACTAATTCGGCATGAAAGTGAATATATTGTGTTATCAAAAGGAATGAAGAATCAGTTAGAAATATCAAAAGAAGTTAGAGAACACCTTGAAAATGTTAAAGGATCATCATCAATCAAAGAGTACTATATTAAAACAACGGAAGAAGCGGTCGAAATCTATAATAAATTAGCAAACGGGAATAAACGCGTTGGAGCCTTAATTCATTCAACTTGTTGATTTTATCGTAAATGTTAGATTATCTATTCATATTTTTGTGGTTTTTATCGAGCTGTATACTTTTTAAGACAGTCGACTAGCGCGAATCGCTTATTATAGGAGTCAGGAAATAAGCGTGTTCTGATTTTAAACAGAAAGTATGTGATAATTACTATTTCTACATTAAGTTTTGCAGTTGTTAAATCTTTAACAAATTTTTTTCACAAAATAATAAACAATGAATTTTCAAGTTTATCATATTACTTTTTATTCGCTACAATTGTTACCAACAGCTGTACTATCTTCTTTCGTGCATGTCTTAGATCAATATGTAACATTTACTGATTAAGCGGCAATAAACAAGGTGCAAATGGTTATAATATTGAAAACTGTGTCAACGGTCCTTGCACATTTCGCATCTAGACCAAATGTTCCATCTCCTATTAAAGAAGGAACGTGTTCAGAATAAACTGGGTTTAGAATTAGTGTTGCATGATGTATAAACGAGTTGGATGGCTAAGAACAGCAAAAAATGCTGCGATTTTTCTTCACATACAGATCAAAATTCTCAATTTCAAGATAAACTACATCTAAATTATTCTGTTCTTAATTTAAATAAACAAAATAGTACAAACATCTGGTAAGATCGACGCATAGCAGACAAATAATGAACATGACAAATCAGAAAGCAAGATCTTCAATCACCAATTAAAGTTGGAACTACTTATACCAAGAGTTATTCATCTGCATCTAAACAGAAGTCATACTTGCGGCTTTGTTAGTATTCATAAATGAAAATTAGGTAGAATTTTGATTAAACAATTATTTCGTATACCTTAGTCGTTGAATTATATATATATAATCTCTATTAATCATTCTTGTTGATGAACCCGGATACGTCAGTCATGTTACTACGACAACCTATTGACCCTTTTCTTTCATGAACATCACCTATCTTCAAAATTTAGAAGACTTCCACGATCTAAAATTGCATGAAAAAAGTATTTACTTCCTGGCGAAAGCGCGTAAGTACGTATCATTACACACATTTTCACTATTAGTATAGGCTTATCAGTAGTGCCTGATAACAGTATTCATGGATAAAAAGTCATACATTCTGAAAATGATATTATTTTCTTGCACGAAATGCGAGTTCGTTAGCTAAATTAGACCTATCAAACGCTATTGATAAATGTATATGTAGTCATCTACTTGATTGAAGTTAAATTAAGAATTAGAGTAATCTGTGGTTAGCGAATTGCCATTACATATAAACTATCATCTAAAATCACTTTTTGAACAATCATCGTGCATTATTAAAAAAAGTAGATCATAAAATCAGATAATTGTAAAAAAATTAAAGATTTATCGTTGAAATTTTGTGTATTACAATTGACATCAACCAAACATTTTTAAATATGAATGAATATTATTTTTCATTTTGGATGAAGATAATAATCATTATTAAAGATCCTATACTACAATTAACTCAATAATATATTGATCAGAATGTGATGTGTTATGAAGTTAGCTACAAAAACATTTCTTTTTTTTTTGTCTGAGTGAAGTCGTTTATTTTAAAAAAATGTCACAGATCATATCTTTACTTAAATTCTGTACAGTATTATATAAGGAATTGAATTATTAGCTAAAACTAAACAGTAGATAAGATAATTCTACTTCTAGTTCTCACAACACATAATAATCTTAGTTTTTGTTCCTATGGGTAAAATTAGGCATTTTTATCCAAAAATAATATTTTATTATGTAAAAAGTATAATTGATCAAAACATGAATCGTGGTAAAAAAAAAGACACTTTTGTTTTGTGTCTGCATAAAAGACACGTTGATAAAATTTTTTTTTTGCTTGTTTTTTCTTCTTCTATTCTATAATAATTTTATTCAACACATGTAATTATATTTTTTTCTCATTGGAAAATAACGAAAAATCTTCATATTTCTTTCTTTTTTTTGTTTTCTTGTCCTTATACAAAGCTCATTATAATCATCATTTATGTCATTCCACAATTCGAAATTTATCTTGGGAATTTTATAATGAAAATGGATATATCTCTAGTTCGCTAAATGATGACTATTGTAATAATAGTTTAGACTATTTCTTTTTGTCAATGTCTTGTTTAATAGTTAAGATACTAAACAAATAAAAATTTTTCTTTATTTTTATTTTATTTTTATTATTTTATTTATGAAAAAGACGAACACGTTTACTTGAATCAATTTTCGCTTCTCAATATACATGTTTCTTAAACTATTCATTTATCAATGATATTAACTCACTGTCTTTTAGCCGGATGGAATGAGGATAAACTATTTAACAAATATTCAATACTATTGCTTTTTTTGCGCATCATCTCCTTTGTGGTTTGAGATTTGTGTATGTATGACATTTTTCGGCAGATACTTACTTATTGTTTTTCTGAATACTTAGAATCTATGCGTAGGCTAGAAGAAAAAAAAAGAAGATACAATTATTTACTACTTTTGTTTTGTTTTTTCACTTACTAAATCAAATGATTTTGAATAATCACTGATAAATTAGACATATTTATTCTTATTTTAGTACAGTAGACAAGATACTTTTAAGTTTTCAGTGAATATGTAACTAAAATCCACTACATTGTCTTTCTATCATCATTACTAGAATATCTTGAGCTCACAAAAAGTTTTTTGTTATTATAAATAGAGTTTATAGCTCCTGCTAATTTGGAACTATAGTAGAAAGATGATTTGTTACTTATAAATTTTATTTTTAATAATCGTTTTTTTTATTCTACATATATGTATCTAAAACTTGAAGAGAAAAAAGTAAACATGTCAAGTATTACTTATAAATATAGTTATAGTTAGAAAGTATACACAGACAGAAGAATATAAAGTTTTATCAAGCATTTTTCTAAATTATATGTGTATATACTTAGAAAAATATCAAAAATCTCTTTTAGATGAAGAAAACAATATTCTATATTTTTTTTTTCTGATACAAATATCAATACAAACAACAAAGGAGAAAAACATAAAATAACTTCTTCAACAATAATTCTTTTAAAAAATAAACAAAACATATTAGACTAATTGATATTAAACTATGTTTTTTCAAAATAGAAAAACAGTTTATTTTTATCATCTTAGAAAAAAAATATCACATATCGTTTTGCCTCATTCTAATAGTATAAACATAAAATTTCCTTTTACTTTTCTTACAAATTTGGTATTTTATTTTTATTATTTAAGGTCAATCATACTATTTATATTCTATACTTAATGATTGGTATAATCGAGCTTAATTTCAGATGGAAAATGTTTATATTCATTTTTAGCTGATAATTTCGATTTAATGTACATATTTTTCCATGAACAAGAGAGTATAAATTTTTTCGTAAATTGAAAAATGATTATTCGTATATATTATTTTTTTTATAGTAAGAGATGGTCGTACAACTAAAAAGAATGTTTTCTATCAAAGCCGTTGTTAATAGAAAATGAGTCTAAGTTATAATATATTAGTGATAATATAACATTAAAGACACGAATGACTTTGTTTAAGTCACTAACTTGAGATTATATGATGAAAGATGTGTACATCATTGTTAAAATTCAACGCTATACTCTTGTATATCTCTTATCGTAAAGTATTTTCTTCTAATAATCTTGAAATCACTGTTTTTTGCTTTCTTATTTCTTTTTAATATGTACAAATATGTAAAAGTTCATTTTTGATTATAGATGAACGTGTTTAATGTAAAAAGAAAAGAAAAGAAAAGAAAAAAGAAAACACACTTTAGAAAGAATCTAAATTTATTGTCAAGATCTTTTTAATGTGTTCATCATGTATAGATCTAAATTATCTATTGGAAAATATTCATTGACTAATTTCTTTTCTCTTTTCTCTCTCTCTCTCATCGATATAATGAAAAAATGAAATATAGATAAATGCAAATGATGATGGAACAAAATATTTTCATCTACATATAACAACTTCTGATCCTCATCGTTGCTAGAATGACGAAAATGTATGTGGTTTAAATGTCATTAACACAATACGAATCGTTCCGAGTTTGTCTACAATTGAAGATGGATTTAATAGATAAGAATAAAAAACATGTCTAAGAATAACAACAAAACATATCTAAACCATCAATAAGAATCATTGCACCATGTAAATAGACTGATATACAAAAATGTGTTGAATAACCATGAATTTATTGCTCATCCGATCATTTTTAATATACTCTCTCTTTCTCGCTTTTATCAACACATTAGATTAATGACGATGATGGTAAGTATATTCAATAGAATAAGAGATAATCAATCACTGATTGATTTATTCTTTATATACTTCCTACGTGTAAACGACGTATATGAAAAAATTTTTTTTTTTTAAACTTAATATAGACATATTTTAAAAGAGACAATTTTTCTAGTGAATATTATAAAAATTTCAAAAAGGGTTATTGATAAATGTGATATCAATTAATTTTGATAGTTGAATATATATTGAAAAAAAGTGATCACCTTGACTATTCAACTATATGTGATTTGTTGTGGTTGTATTATTAGTAGTCATAAATCTAACAAAACATCCTCTAGGCATTCGTATACAAATAACTTCTTCTCGTACTAAGAAACAAAGGACCTGTCTCGTCGCGTTTTGTTAACAAAACTCTATCGCGAACAAAATTATTGTCAATCACAATTCAAAGAAAATATGGGCGTTAAATGGAGAGAAGAGAGAGAGAGAAAGAGAGAAAAAAAAAAATGTCATTAACAATAAGAAATAAACTACTACGAGAAAGTACTAATGATATACTCTACTTCGAACTTGTAATGGTGTGTGACTGTAAAGAAGAACTTAAATAGATGTTTATTTTTTTTATGTATCTGTTGAAAAAAAAGAAGGAAGAAGACAAAAAGGAACAAATCATAAATAGATAATAAAAACATCGATAGAGGGATACAAAACTATGTTTTGTTAAGGAAGAACAGCTGCCGCTTCTAATAGGTTTCTTGCTAAAAAGTTTCTTCTACCTAAAATATCTAAGGTAAGATCGTAATATACCAATTTCTCTCTCTCTGTCTCTCTCTCTCTCTCTCTCTCTCCCTTTCTCTATTTTAATATTATCATATTAAATTTAACAAACCGAAAAATTCACTTATATTTTCTTTTAATAAAAAAGACGACTTTGATTACCATCAAACGAACTTATTGATAAAATAAAAAAAAGATTTGTTTTTTCAAGTAGAAATTTTTGTCGTATAAAATAAACCTTAACTGAATGTTTAGTTTGGAATGGAATAAATCAGTATTTGAAGATTAACCAATCGGTTTTCTCATCTTGAAAGAATTGTTTCAAACCTCTTGTCGTTTATCTTTATATTGACGACATGTGTGTATATGTTGAGCTTCCTTTATTTATTTCTCTTCGAGCAGTACTTATACTGCATAGAAAAATTCATTTGTGTTCGTCCGTGCTCTTCCTGATTATAATAAAAAAAAAAGGTTAGAAACAAAATACAATTTGTCCATTATTTTATGAGTTTAAAGGTTATTGAAAAGAGGTAATAAAAAAGTTATAAGAAATGATTTATTATTCTTAATTTCTGTTAACTTTTTTTTTCAAATATATCATCTATTGAATTCAAATGTGAATATTAATTCAAAAAGTAACACTTAGAATATTTTGTACATTGTTGAAAACTGTCTTATGTTATTTTTGTTAATATAAAGACAAATTTCTTCTCATTTTTTTGTTGTTGCCATACAAACAGTCTCTATAGTCTTTTTTCTCTCCCCCTTTCTTTGTTTTTTTCTCCTTTTTTTTATAGTCTATATGCGACGATTTCCAATAAGAATGATGACGATAACCTTTCTTTTTTTCACCATTGGAATTTATCGAGAGTGTATGTATACATGAGGAAATTTTACGGTGATATATAGTCAATATGATATTTTGTAAGTGATCTTCATATTTGTAAAAATAACATTTTTTATCTATAATTATCTTTATATACTAAATCATTACTTACCGTTGTGTGTATGTATCTGATTATTCAATTATAATGAACAGTTTTATTACCATGAATGAAATTGAAACTCTTCCAATAGTTAACTGGTCATTTTCTTTGCCAATGGATAATTGAAACAATAGGATATGATTCTTACAATCTAATGAATGTATTGTATGTTAGATTAAAAACAAGTTTTATGAATTGTTATGATTTTTTTGATAAAATTTAACAGTTTTACCACAGAAAAAATAAAATTTATCATTTCATATGTAGAAAAGACTTTCTACGTAAGATATGTTTCAAAGATAGACATACTATAATAGTTATTGTGTACAATACTTTCACGTTGATCTATAAGTTTAGACTCTTTTTTGTTGTTACAATTATAAATCAGTGTGTGTATCATTGATTTTTTTCTTAGATTTAAAATACTTACAATTATTCAATTTCAATATTAAATTACTTTTAATGATATTATATTCGTCATTACCATCATATTTACTCATTATACTAATATTGAATGAAATTTCACCTAAGATATGAGGGAAAAAAAATGTAAATTTGATCGATGAATTACATCAATTCTACTCGTCTAATTCTAACATCTCTGTTAACAACAACAACAACATCCACATTGACAACAAATTATAGTCATAATGAAACATCAACAGATATACCAAAAACATTAATACCCGAAAAATATCAAGTTATTCTTCTAAGTTTTGCTTATGGTGTGATTGCCTTTCTAGCCATTGTTGGCAATTCATTAATTATTTATATTGTTCTTCGAAATAGACGTATGCATTCAGTAACAAATTATTTTATATGTAATTTAGCATTAGCCGATTGTCTTGTGGCATGTTTTGCTGTACCATTTCAAGTATGTATAGTAAAAATATTAAATCTATAATCATGTTCAATTTCTATAATTGACAATTTTGAGAGTTAAAACGCTCTTTTTATAACTTCATTTCCGTTCTGAATTAATGAGTAGAATTTTATTTTCTAGTTTCAAGCTGCCGCCTTACAAAAATGGGTATTACCACATTTTTTATGCAAAGTTGCACCATTTACTCAAATACTTTCTGTTGATGTATCTATATTTACTTTGGTGGCAGTTTCAATCGATCGTTATCACGTGATGTTATATCCGTTAAAACCAAAATTATCTACTAGAAAAGCGTTTATTATATTTTTATTTGTTTGGTTAATTGCTCTTGGATCATCGATACCAAGTTTATTTTTTTATCGTGTATATCAAATAAATGTTGATTATTATCAATGTTTACCCAATACATATCAAACAATACCACAAGATCAAGCTCATAAAGAAAATTCGACTAGTAATACGATGGATAATATTGCCACCGCCCATAATTCATATGATATACACAAAATATATATTGTCTACAATATTTATTCTCAGTATATTATACCATTCATAATTATAGCTGGTGCCTATTTTAGAATTGGTTCACATTTATATTTCTCTAAACCGCCAACAACAATCAATAAACATCAGGAAGTTATTGCGAGAAATAAACGAAAAGTATGTAGCAAAAACCTTGAATAGGAGGAAATCGACCACTTAGATAGATTGTTAAACAAATACTAGAGAATTAATACATAAATAGAGCTATTATTATTGGCAATGAGTAACAGATTAAGCTAAATCGATTACTCTAAAGTCACACGTTTCAAGGATGATAAATGAAAAGTTATCCATTTATTGTTTACATTCCAGCTTGAAACAATATATTGAAATAATAATGCATCTGTTGACTAAGAAATTTGAATAATGATTCTAGCGTTAAAACTCATCGCAACAATGTGCATTAATCAATCAAATATTTTTAAATCAAATAATTTTTAACATATATTTTTTGATTTGTATGTATCAGTCGTCCTTCTATGATATCTTTGTATGTCAGCTTTTGAAGAAGAATATTTCATCCATATTGTATTGTTTGATTCTTTAGAAAAGAGCAAATTTTAACTTTCTTACTTCATTCTTTGAAAGTTACAAAAATCTTTACAAATGTTTGAAAATTGTACGATTCTCTTCTCATTCCTAACTAACTGGAAGATAATTCTCTTAGATATCGTTACTAGGCTGATGTTATTAGATAGTTTTATTATTGCCTTCAATTTGGAACACAAATTTCTACATTAATTTCATTGTCAAAAAATGCTGCTTATCTCTATATACTGCTGTTGAAAAAGTTAACACTTTCATGGAACATCTTGCTGATCTTTTCGATTATATGTTTCTAATATTATCGAAACCAGTAGGTATGAAGATAAAAATGATTTTTACGCAGTCATATTTTCTAAAATAGATAAATAAGTTTTTTTCTGATATATAGATAAGACGAAAAAAAACAAGAAAATAAGTGTTTAAACGATAAAAAAAGATCTTTAGTTTGATTAATTTGTTTTGTCGATAATTACATTCTTTATCTTTAAAAGTTAAGGAAACAGCTGTTATAATCTGTTAGACAACAGTAACCAGTAATTACTCTTAAAACATAGAAACTAATAAACCTAATTTCATGCGTGTGAATTCATATTCGTGTAAAATTAATTTTGTGTTTTTCAACAGTTTAAAGTTATAGAATACGATAAATGGATTTATTTTCAATTGTATTTGGGAAGAATGAAGTTTTAAATCAATTGAAAAGGATTTTTACCATATATCTATCATAAATTTCGATGTTGTAGATACCGCTGTAACTAAGATAACATCGGTATCTTGTTACTATTGTTTTTCAACTATAAATTGTGTTAGAGAGTCTCTGCCAGGTGACCAAGAAACAAATATGAGTGTTAATGAATATCATTCAACAACCAAAATAGTCTAATTTCTTTTTCTCAATAAGTTTAGTTCACTGATGTAAATAGAATATTTTTATCTACTATTCATTTTCTAATTTTAGGTTTTGAAAATGTTATTTGTTGTCGTTGCTCTATTTCTAATATGTTGGTTTCCATTACAATTATATAATTTTTTGAATGTTTACAGAACAGAAATAAATGAGTGAGTTTTTTCTATTTTATAAACTTGTTCATGATACAAAATTATATTCTATTTTTAGTTTTAAACATATTGTTGTTCTATGGCTCTGCGCCAATTGGCTCGCAATGAGTAATTCATGTCATAATCCTTTCATCTATGGTTTATGTAGTGTAAGCAGTACATCTGGTCATCTATATTTTGTTACCTATTGTCCTTTTTCTAGGCTAAATTTAATCGTGAATTTCGTCGTATATTATGGTTCTTACCATGTATTGACAATTCAAATTTGGAAGTTGATCCACGTGCTAAATCAAACATAACTCTAATAAGTGCCGTCCAAGCATCAAAACAACAACAACAACAACAACTACAAAAACTAGATCAATTTTCTTCCTCATCGTCACAATTAAGACGAAAACATTGTCAACGTCGTTCACCTCGTTCATCACCTATTCTCAGTGTACACGATGGAACGCGTATGCTAAATAAACCTCCACGTCGTTCACTCACACCATCAACGACGAATAATTCAAATAGTACATCACATTTATCAAATATTTTAACACAAAAATATCGACAAACATTTTCTTCAGTTGAACCAACAAACTGTAAAATAAATAAAAATAATTATTATACAAAATTGGCACCACGATCTGTTAATAATTGTGAAAAATTCTTACCCGATCATGATTTAAATGGTTCAAAAGAAAATGATTTATTATTAATGAATCGACAATCGGCAAGATTTCAGTAGTTGAACGTTTGTAGTAGTTGTTCTACCATGTACATAGATATATATTTTTTGTATAACAGAGCTTAAATACACTTTCTCTTTGAATATGCTTAATTTTTGTTAAAAAAACTAGTTTGATGCTCTAACTGTACTATCTTCTTAACTTTTGCTTCATACAACTGATCAAAATATAGAATTCGCTTGATAATAGCAGTCGTGAATTATATATTGAAGTTATGGTCCTTAATTTTAATACATTTAGGATGAATTGACCTGTTAACTTTTACTTTGAAATGTGAGAAAGCCCATCTATTATGTATTAAAACAGAAAAGTTCTTGAATTGTTAGTGATCTTGTCGTACATAGCCGCTGCTATTTTTCTTTTTCATCATGGTTCTTTGACGGTGGTATGAAACACAACCATTGTGATACTAGAATATCTGTCTGATTCGAAAAGATACATTTGCACTTCATCTACAAGAACTCTAGCTGTGATAATTTACCAATCAATAAAAAATCTTCAATCACAAAAGTGTAAGAACATTATCAAATAATAATAAAATGCGATTCTGAGAATTGAGCTAATTTAGGTCAGTATACGGTAGAATTTTGTTAAATTAAAATTTCTTTATACTGATTTATTATGTGTGTATCTAGCTAGTTGGAAGTCGATAGTGTTTATAACATTTGTGCGAATTGTAAAACTAGCGCTTTAGAACTTGCTAATAAAATGCTAATTTTGATTCGCTTTCAGGACATTTTCAGAATTTACGATGAGAATTTAAGATAAACAGTGGTTTATTTCCTGCATAAACTCTCTGAAAATTTGGCAGCTCTGAAAGATTTAGAATTCTTGCATCTCTCACATGAATGATGAATCAATTGGATGTATTTCTAAGCCTCCAAGAGAATTGTGTAAACTACCAATGCAATATCTATTTCTTTCTGGTATAAGTAGGTTATAAACTTTACTAATGGGAATATGTGCGAGTCTGGTTGCTTCAACAGAAAAAGTCCCCTTATTGTATGTTGCATTTAAGGAGAGTGTCATGATGATAAAAGGTTTTGTTATTTTAACTGTATATTTAAAAAAGACTGCGTGCCGACGCTTGCCCCTGAATGCCGTAGTGGTATGTAACAGAGCGCTGTTCAGGTCTTCTAAGGTTTGCCACAATGTTCCCTGCACACCTGCGCAAGCCTGCACGTAGGATTTTTGCCTGTCGAAGTAAAATATCAGGCTCTCTCGAAGACCGTCAGGCAGCCTTTTATTATAGAGTGATGGATAATTTCAGAATTTAGTATTCCCTCCAGAGCATGGATACTAGTACTTATACGGGAACTTTTCCTACTTTTTAGGTACAAAGTAGTAATACGTGTACTAAAGATCAGTACTTGTACTTTCAAAGAATACTTTGTATCTGTACTTTAAGTACATCTGAAGTATTCCAGATACTTTTATTTCCTTTCACAACTAGTTTAATTATTTCTATACGTAGTTTGACGATGATGCACCAATAAGCTAATATCTGGGTGATTCTGGCCATTTTTGTACCGTTTTTGAAGAAAACAAATAACCTAATATGAAAGTGACCAGAAAAATATTTTAACACTGTAGGTTTATAGAGGATACTTAAAATTCTAAAAAAAACTCTGTTTCCAAACTACCAAGCCCTTTTCTGTCCAAATACTGGTTCTTCACTCTTTGACTCAGGATCGAAAATGCGATTTTCTCTGCTTTTCAGATGAAAAAGCATAATTAAGCTTAAAAATATATTGAAACATAGGTTTTCACATATGATCTATCGACTGGCATCCTTTATAAAGAGTTTTCGACAATTTCTAAGCTTGAACCTCTAGAAACCCAGGTTTTATAGAAATCCTTTGCTGAGCTGATTTTCAGAAAACTGAGTGGGCCATTCAATTCAGGGTGTCAAAATATATATACTCTTAAAATTTGCTGCTTTATGTGCTGGCTATTATGATTCTAGAGATATGCTTGCGGGTGGAACATTTCACTGTATTTTCCTTCCTTTAGAAATAAGCTGAAGCCTTGATATTTACAGCACAACTTGTGCTACTCATTTGACATATATGGTAAAAAATGAGTTCTTAATTCCATGTAGTTTGGTTAGGAAATAGCCAAAAGAGGATGGGACAAATTCTACGTCACAAACCATCGGGCGTCAGTAAAATGTCAATTACTCAAAAATGAAAAAAGCTAGTAACTTGTGGTTTTCAACAATCTATGGTGCCTACTTTGGTGAATTTTTCATGGAAAACTATTTGACTTAAAGTGCTTAGTGGCTGAGAAGTAGATACAAAAGGGAGTGGGTATGTATCATTATTACATGTATTTTTTACTGTTTACTACTGTTTGTTTATCTTATTATATATGCTTATCATGTAGGTTTTTATCACTTGTCCCACATGTATGAATCTTGTTGTTTGATGAAAGATGTACAATTCTACTTATTAAAAAAATTCAACAGGTGTGACCGAAGACAAAGCGTGAATAGAAGTTTTCTATCTACTATTAGAAATCGTAATAAAATTAGCAAATAATTCAAATAGTCTTGCAGAATTTTTCTATTGCTAGCTCAATCACATAGTAGGAAAAAGATATGAAGAAGTAAAAGACAAAAAGATGCCTGAAATACTTTAAATGTATTCAAAGTGCAAGTACAAGTATTTTTGTGAAAGTACAAAGGAAAAGTACGAGTAATATTCTTCTAGTACAAGTATTGCCACCTTTACCTTTATACTTTTACTTATCCAGACTCTGATTTCTTCTACATCGCCTTAAATGAATAACATGGACTACATCGGAGGCTCGCGAATTATCAGTAATGTACATCATACCGTACGATCAAGTTTAGAATATATAGCTGTTTTCTGTTCACACAGTCGAAGGCCGATGTAACTCAATCACTGAAAGAAGAAAGGTCCCTTAAGAGCCATTACATGAAAAGAACATCTCATTTCCCTATACGTTGCTGAATTCAAGTTTTGGACTCGTTTGATCAAAAAACTAAAACATGTTATGAACTCGTATTATCAGTTAAGTACTTTAAATAAACATCAATAAAGCTAACATCAATGTTATAAAAACAAAAACGCATATCCAGTCGACTGCCGCCTCTTTTCTAAGCTGTAATCTAAACACTGTTCCAGAAATATCGACAAGCAACGGTTCACAAATTGAACCACTGTACTTCTCGTATTTACATTCAGTACAGATGTAATTATCGCAATACATTACCAGATCTTCGAAATGTTTTCCAGATGCATATAGTTGACAATAACAGGTATAACGATACAGACAACTACTGGCAGATGCTTTTGATCTATTCTTTTATCACTCTTGATCTTTATTTAGAATGTTTAGAACATGATAGTATATGAAGATCAAGAATGAAAAAGTAATAGATCAAAAGTATCTTTCAATAGCAGCGCGAAACTGAATGGTTCAACAATAAATATTTTGTATTTTTTTCTCATTGCAGAGAAAAATGTCGACGATACTTGTGCTGTTTACAGATTATTTGATTAAACCTCTTACAGCTAAAAATCTAATTACTTTTCATAGAATAAGAATCTCAACTTTTTATCACTCATACGACACACCACCTGCGAGTAAATAGTGGTTGAGACTGTCTTTTTCAAAGTTCAATATCTCGCACCCCACTCGACCCCGTTTTGATTATTGACTACTGAAAATCACAAATCTCTATTACTCGCTTTTCTATCAAAAGCTATTCAAAAACTATTGTAGCTCATTGTATTTTGAAAATTGCACAGCGCATGTTTTCAATGAATTGATTTTGTAATGCAAAACATTTCGAAGATCTGATAGTCTTTTGTCATAATTACATCTATATTGAACGAAAAGATGGGAAGTACAACAATTGATTTTATTATATGTGACATAATTTTATAGACTACTGTCGCGCCAATAACGATACTCTATCGAGAGCTGTTCATCAAATTTTTTAATTACAAATTCTTTTTATTTTTTACTAAATAGAACATTCATTTTCTTTTTAATATTGTCCAATTTGGTTTTAGTAATGATTGTGAAGTAGATGTTGTTGATGTTGATCTATTTTTAACAAGTTGAAATAATGATGGTATTGTTGATGGACGTGTCTGAACTGTTTCTGACTGTTCTTTAAATAAAACTTTACTTTTATCTAATAGAGTCATTTTTTCTAATTTTTTCTTATGTTTACTAAATAAAATATGTTTTGTAACGCATATTTTCTACGACGACAAACCAGGCTTAGGATAAGAAAAAATTTTTCATTTATGCTGTTTTATGTTTATTTTGAGTTATGCCCCATCTTCTATCCTTATCATAAAGGCTTAATTTTCTTTTTGATGTATAAAAAGGGTGTCTCCAAAGACGCTCCTCAGAGTATATAAATAATACTACGAAAAGTCTGTATAGTTCCCAGTCGATCAGTTTGTTCTCATCAGATACAATAACTGCTTAACTTATATCTCTAAGTCTATACTTGTATCATAAAGACCATTTCATACTGTGTATCTGGAAGGATTTTCATAAAGATTCGATATAGAGAATAGAAGATAAGGCTCCGCACGATTGAGTATGTTTATAAAAACAACAACAAGATAAGAAAAAATTGATTGTAGAATTTTTGTATTATGTGTTATAGGAAAAGTTTTCCAGAGCAATCTTGTGGTCCGAGACGATCTATACAAACTCACGTCAGATAATTTTTGGGTACATCGATCTTATCGTTAAAAAAGGATTTAGTCGCAACGAGTCTATCTATTAATTCGACTTGTAACTGCTGATGGTGAGGGTACTATCCACTATGACCTAAAACATATATTTTGCCGTAGTTTTAGTTGTAGGTTACGAATTTGATGTCTGTAACAAAAAACCATTTGAAATGAACAAAAAAGCTCCACATAGGAATCTTCCACCAATAAACGCCCATCTTACTTCTGGCTATAAAAAAAGTTGCTACGGACAGATTTCTATTTTGGATCCTTCA